GAGGGCAAGCCCCGCCACCTGGCCGGGACTAGGGCGATAGAGAATGCCAGCAACCCCTCGGAGAAATTCAGACAATCTCCTGAGGGCTAAGAGGAGGAGACGACTCCAACTCCACCAGGAAAGTCTTGGCCCACCTATGGGAAACCGAGCACCTGAAAGTTTATATATCCTTTATTGTTTCAGTTAATTTATTTTGTTATTTATTATTATGTTATGAAATAAAACTCTGTGAAGATTATTGTGTCCAAAATTGTCTTGTTTTCCTAAAATTTACAAACAACTTATAAAAGTCAGAACATGACTAATAACAAGGTGTAGACAAAAGGACAATAGTCGTCACACTCCCAACGATCATTCACTACTCCGTGAGTCACAACCACTATAACCAAGACTCTCTCCATCACCAATTAATACTGGTGTTTCATAGGGGACGAAGCCAGATAAATCAACAGTGGCCCACTCATCAAGCGCCCAGTAGTAGGCGGCCAACACCTAGGTTGGCACCACCCAAGTCGACAGCGCCCAGGCTGGCTGTCGCCCACCTTCTGTACGTCATCCAAGAAAGACCTCTCCGCNCACTCATCAAGCGCCCAGTAGTAGGCGGCCAACACCTAGGTTGGCACCACCCAAGTCGACAGCGCCCAGGCTGGCTGTCGCCCACCTTCTGTACGTCATCCAAGAAAGACCTCTCCGCTCTTGACACCAGCGCCCCTCGGTATCCATGCCCAACGATGCCCATCACCCCTCAGTGTCCATGCCCATCGGCGCCCAGGGCCCCGTGACGTTCCTGCCCAGCAGAAGGCGCTTGTCACCAGGCGCCCATAGCCCTTCGGCGTCCATGCCCGGCAGGAGGCGCTTATCATTAGGCGCCCAGCTCCTCAGCGCCCCACTCATCTCCTCCATCTCTATAGAGTGAGCCTCTGCCCAAGTAACTCTCTCAAGTGCTACTTGAAGGTCAGCCTCAAAATTAGGCAGCCCTCTAATGCGTTAGCCTCAACTTCCTAGTGGCATCTTCTCGCGCCTGCCACTCGAGCCCTAACAGCTTCATGGCATCCTCTTGTGCCTGCCGTGCAAGCTCCGTGGCATCCTCTCTTGCCTGCCACTTAAGCACCAACTGCTCTTCAGCAGCCTATATCTCCAGTTTTGCACTCTCTCGTTAGTCGCAAAGAAGCTTGGCCTATGACTCTGCTCTCGCGCAACTAATCACCACCTTATAAGCCTCTGTTACAACAGTCATCTCCCGAGTTACACATAGCTCAGCCAATGACTCTGCTCTCAAGAGCACAAATAGTCACCTTATAAGCCTCCGCCACGATAGTCATCCCCAAGACTATACGTAGTTCGACCTCTATGACTCTGTTCTTGCGCAAGTTCATCCCTCGAGACTATACGTAGCTCAGCCACTATGACTCTACTCTCGTNAGCCTCCGCCACGATAGTCATCCCCAAGACTATACGTAGTTCGACCTCTATGACTCTACTCTTGCGCAAATTCATCCCTCGAGACTATACGTAGCTCAGCCACTATGACTCTACTCTCGTGCAAGTCCATCTCCCGAGACTAGACATAGCTCGGCCTCTATGACTCTGCTCTCGCGCAAGTCCATCTCCCGAGACTATACGTAGCTCGGCCTCTACGACTCTACTCTCGTGCAAGTCTCTGCCACGATAGCCATCTTTCAAGACTATACGTAGCTTGGCCTCAGCTCATGCAACCCTCTCACAGGACATCCACAGCTCTGACGTTGCTCTCATACAAATAACCTACCCCCCTCTTCAGGTAATCATGTTAGATATTTTAATGTTAAGATAACATTATTTTTGTCAGGCACACTGTTGAAGTTCGGGTCGTTTGCAACTGAGCCACTACTAGAAGCAGGGTGAAACCACAATCCCCGTAAAAATTACACTAGAGCCTCAACTCCTACAGCGGTACAATGACTAATTCTGATACACACAGAAGCCTTAATCTAGGAAGGAGTGGGGGCACCACCGAATCCTGCTCCCAGGAAACAACCTGGTCATCGACCCTTGGTCGAAAAGCACTGGAGGCATCAAACCTTGTCCTCTTGGAAGGAGGAGAAGACACCACCCTAACAGCACAAGAGTCTCCCCTATCGCTCTATCAACAGGGTGCCTATAATTAGAGACAATGTCAATTAGTGACCAAGCACCAGAGAGGCCGCCCATAGCAAGACTCAAGGCGTCCCCCAAACACAGTAGTGCTCAAGGTCTCCTGGCGTCGCCTGACCAACCTTCTGGCATCACTTGAAGCACCATCCTCGTCTCCCCCCGGAGCCGCCCAAGCTAGCACACAGCTCTAGTGCTGCCCAGTGCTTGGCGCCCAACAGATCCTCTCACTTGACCAGCAAGAGTCGCCCAAGGAGGAAGCGCCAGCCTGTTTGGCGCCCACAGCAGCCTTCATCGTATTTTAAAAAAAAAGAAAANGAGTCGCCCAAGGAGGAAGCGCCAGCCTGTTTGGCGCCCACAGCAGCCTTCATCGTATTTAAAAAAAAAAAAAAAAAAAGAAGAGGAGGCAGCGCCCAAGTAGGCCAAAACAAAAAAAAAAAGTTTTTTCGATATCGAAAAATTCAGTGAGTTCTTGAAGATTAAAAGATATCGTGAGAAGCAAAAAAATTTCAACTCACTTCGATGAAGACGAAGCACATGCCCACAATCCCTTCCTCTTGCAAAATTTGGAGGCTTGGGGCATGAGAGGCAAATGATGAGTCCGAAATTAACTGGGTTAGGCGTAATAAATCAAGAAGACCCAAGTCAATAAAATGCGACCTGGGCCCAACAAGTCAAGAGAGACCAAGACACCAACGCCCGAGGAGGCCACCCCAAGAGGTCTACGTCACCGAAGTTCGAAAAGAGTTTGAGACATCAAGGAAGAGCCTAAGCCCAAGAGACACCCTCAAGGTGGCGCCACCCAAGAGGGCGTCGCCCAAGGGGGCACCCTAAGAGAGCGCCGCCCAAGAGGGACACCCAAGGGGCGTCGCCCAGTTGGTCCTCCTACCTCTCCTTCGTCCTCTTGACTTTTAGACTCGGGCTCAAGTCTAGACTCGGGCTCAAGTCCAATCCAGCGCAAGGTCATCCTCCGACAGAATAAAAGTACAAGGAGAGAATATCGAGATACACTCGGAGATCTAATCCTACCATAACTGTACTTGCCAAAATAGTAGAAGTCCTCTACCTCACGTTACCGCCTCACCACCTTACTAAGCCTATATAATGTAAACCCTCTCCACATAAAGGGCATCTCCTTATGACCTCGAGAAGATCCCTACACATACTACACCTCCCTACATACATTGTTCTCTCTCTCTCTCTCCAAAGCATTGTAATACTCCCGGAGTTACTCTCCAATGACTTCACCCATTAATAAAAATCTTCGGCCACCACTGTCGTTCTAGAGAGTGGAGTAGGTCACCCGGATCGAACTACTATAAATTTTTGTGTTGATTTCATATTTACTGTTTTATCGTTGATTGTCTATTTACTGCTCATTAATTGTATCCTTACATATACTCGACTGTTAATTTTGCGCAAAATTAATTTGTGCATCATTAAATGTCATCCACATGTATAGCGATAATGACAATGTTCATAAAGTGAGATTTCCATCGAAAGCAAAATCTTCTTCTTTTTTTTTGGCTTGATGGGCAAGCCCGTTGTCATCCTCAAGTTATGTTGGATTAATTTCAGTTATTTATGAAAGTAAGGTTTGCTTTGGAAAAAAGGGCTTTCCATTATGATCAACCATCAAAATCTATTGTCAAGGGGGAAATAGTGGTCTTTGTCTAGTCTAGTCTAGTCCATCTAAGATGCTGACAGTTGATCTAAGACTCGAAATTGCACTATTCCTAAAGTTGTAGCTTTTACTGGTGGTTCTAGTCCTTTTACTTAATATTTTGTAAGTTGAGTTCGTAGTCATTCAGATAAGATCTTACCCCGTGAGATGGTGGTCGACCCCTAAAGGAACTTTTGCTCTGGATTTTTTACTCTTGCATATAAATCTTCTTTTTCTCCAAGAAGATTTATATGCAAGAGTGCGGTAAACTAGCACTAAACTACCATTGTATCCATGTCCACTTCCATATATCATATCATTTTAGATATACACAAAAAAGGATTTGAAGCATAAAGAGAAAGCAAAATGAAAGTGGGGCGAGAAAGATCGTGCAATAGAAAGGAAGGTGGTGAGTTCATCGTGGTTCCAACCTAAAAAGTTGAAAAACAACTGCACAATTGTGGGATTGCAGGGGAAACAAAAAAAAAAAGGTAGACGATAACATAATAAATTGTCGTGGTTGGACTAATAATAGGTTACATCTAATATTAAAATTTATAATTAATTTAATAATTACAATGAGTTAGGTCTTCAAATCAAATCATTATAGCACTAGTCATTATCATTATCATATATTAAGAAAAAGTATAGTTCTTGATTTAGTCTGCAACTATTTATATCGATGAATAATGTTAGATTGATAAATAAATGGAACTATAAAGCGTGATATTATCATAATAAAAAAATTTTAAATTTCAAATGTATAAAAATGGGACTAATAGTAACATTTATGGTAATGCCACGTTATTATATCTATATTTTTTTATCTCACATTTTTAATCAGTCTAGCATTACTTTGGTGTCGATGTGTATGTGCGTGTGTCACGTGCGACATTCACGTGACAACCTCCATTCACATCCCCTGTGCCATCACTGTATTTGGGCCTAGAATCTCTGGGTTGGGTTGATATAACTCCAAGAACAGTGTTATTATGGGCTTGTGGTGGGCTCTACATTCTAGTGAATTTACCTACAGACCCTGAACATTCTTCAAATTTAGAAAATTAACCAAACCCCCTGCGATGCGATTCGATTCGATTCGATTCGATCGTCTCAGTAAAACCTTCCGCCCCTTCTTCGCCTTCTTCAAAACTCTCTCTCTCTCTCTCTCTCTCCTCTACTGAAGCTCATCGCCTCAAACCAAGCTATGAAGACCCACAAGGCTTTTCATCTTCGAATCACCAAACGCCACAATCTGCTGGCTCTCTTTGCACCGACTCAAGGTCAGTCCGCTGCACCCTTCTCTTCTCTTTCTCTCTCCAAACCTTCACAACCCAGCCTCACGTACCCTCCCGATTCTCAAGCCTTACAGACGCCATCCATAACTCCTCATTCCCTTCAACAGTCAATCCAATCTTCTCAGTGGCATTTCGTCGAACACATTTCACCAAACCTCACTCCTACCATAATCTCCACCGTCCTTTTCAACCTCCGTACATCCCCTGACCTCATTCTCAAATTCGTTGACAATATCAGCCCCAATTGTCTCGATAACCAATGCTATTACCTTGCTATTTCGATAATCGCTCGTCTTCCATCACCAAAACATGCTTTACAGCTCATAAAGAATGTAATTGATTCTAGAAATCTGACTAGTAGAGAGATTTTTGATGGGTTAGTGAGTGCTCGTGAGAGTTTGAGTATATCAAGTTCAATTGTGTTAGATTTGTTAATAAGGGGATTCTGTGAATTGAAGAGAGATAAAGAGGCGTTTGCGTGTTTTTGTATGATGAAAGAGACGGGAATTTTACCCAAGATTGAGACTTGCAATGATATCTTGAGTCTATTTCTCAGATTGAATAGAACGGAGGCAGCTTGGGTTTTGTATGCCGAGATGTTTAGGTTGAGGATTAATTCAACGGTGTACACATTTAATATAATGATTAATGTGTTGTGTAAAGAAGGGAAATTAACAAAGGCTAAGGAATTTATTGGGCACATGGAGGGATTGGGATTTAAGCCGAATGTTGTTACTTATAATACAATAATTCACGGGTATTGTATGAAGGGGAACCTTGAAGGGGCTAATAGGGTTTTTGAGGCGATGAAATTGAAAAGGATTGATGCAGATTCATATACATATGGTTCAATCATTTCTGGGATGTGTAAGGAGGGAAGGGTTCAGGAGGCATCAATACTTTTTGGGAAAATGGAGGAATGTGGATTGGTTCCGACAGCTGTGACTTATAACACTTTGATTGGTGGGTATTGTGATAAAGGGGATTTGGCAAAGGCTTCTGGTTACAAGGATGAGATGGTCAGGAAGGGCATATTGCCGACCGTGTCCACGTATAATTTGTTGATTCATGCGCTGTTCATGGAAGGTAGGGAAAGCGAAGCTGATGATATGATAAAACTGATGGAAGAAAAGGGGATAGTTCCAGATGCCACTACATATAATATACTGATCAATGGGTATTGCAGGTCTGGAAAAGCAAAGAAAGCCTTTAATCTCCACGATGAGATGTTAAGTAAAGGAATTCAGCCTACCAGAGTAACTTACACATCTCTTGTCTACGTTTTGAGCAAGAGAAATAGAATGAAGGAGGCAGATGACTTATTTACGAAGATAATAGATAAAGGCATATTGCCGGATGTTGTAATGCTTAATGCACTGATTGATGGCCACTGTGCTAATGGGAATGTGGAGCGCGGTCATTTCCTTTTGAAGGAGATGGATAGAATGAAAGTACGTCCTGATGAGGTTACCTACAATACTTTAATGCACGGTCGCTGTAGGGAGGGTAAGATTGAAGAAGCTCGTGGGCTTCTTGATGAGATGAAGAGCATTGGAATTAAGCCTGACCACATTAGTTATAACACACTCATTAGTGGGTATAGTAGGAGAGGTGATGTAAAGAATGCCTTTGGAGTCAGAGATGAAATGCTAAGTTTAGGTTTCAATCCTACCCTTCTTACTTATAATGCTCTAATACAAGGCTTANGAAAAAAAAAAACCTGTCCACAAGGAAGAGACTTTTGGTGAAAAGCAGATGTTTCCCCAAATCCGCTAAAGCAGAAAATTGGGGACTTTGTCTGTTTGCGTATTAAATGAGTACCGTATAATAACGTGTTTTAGAAGAAGATTACGGTACATTCAAGGAAATTTTTGGTACCGTATAAAAAATTTTATGAAAATAATTATAATTTCAGTGATATATTTATTAAATTTATGAATTTTATAACTTCATCGATTATTAGACAAGATAAGATAAGACATTAAAATAACATGTCAGATAGTATATCATGATTACTAATAATTTTGTTATCATAATGAATGAAATATTTATAACTTCAGTAGTAAATTTATCAAATTTGTAAAAATATTTACAATTTCAGTAGTATATTTATCACTTTTATGGGAGTATTTACAACTAATCCAAAAAAATATACAAATTTAATGGATCAATTATCACTTTTATGAAAATATTTACAACTTTAATAGATCTTTTATGGAAATATTTATAATTTCAGTGAATTATTTACCAAATTTGTAGAAATAATTACAACTGTAATGTATTTCTTAGCAGATCGATCAAATTGTTGCGGATCATAAATACTGGGGACATCTAATATGTTTGATCTATCAAACATGTTAAATTCAATTTTGAAAAAAAATTTTAAAAAAATTTTAAATCCAATTTGAAGAATCCAATTTTTTAAAAATTGGAAAAAATCAAAATTTTTTTAAAAATTGAGAAAAATACAATTTTTCAAATTTTTTTCAAAAATTGGATTTTTTAATTGATAGATCAAAAATATGTTTGATAGATCATTAAACAAATATTTTTTATCATTAAACAAAAATTGGATTTACCACTTTTATGGAAATATTTATAACTTCAATGGTATTTTTTACGACATTTATTAGTCCATGATTGATTATTAAATATGATCGATCGATCACAACACACATATGTGTGTTGGGGAGTGTAGATAATTTTGAAAAGAGTGGTCCACAATGATTTTCCTTCTAGTAAAGTATCTACCTTTGTTGGAGAAGGGCCAAAGGGTTTCATTATAGAGGAGGGTTTTCCATCAATTCTTGATTTGAATACAGCCCCAAATGACAGATTTAGCTAAGAGTCTCCATTATGGGAAAATTTTGTTCATGTGGGCTTCAGAAGTGCTTCTTGCTAGATCATACAAGCCAATTCATTCCATTCATTTCCTTGCCAGTCGGGAGTGAGCAATGTCATTTAATCTACTCTGACAGTGTTCAATTCAGGATTTTGTATGAAGCATACTCCTACTAAGATTGATGTTCTGGAATGATAGGTGCAGTACCACCCTCCTGACTATTGGCCCTTATACTAGGGCTAATGGGAAAATGGAGGGAAGATCATACAGAAGAAGTCGTGTTGAAGAACTGGTTGACAAAGGCATCAGTCCTCAGCACAAGATTTGTATCTTTGTGATTGAAGCGATGGTGAAAGCTGATAATTTAGTGGGAAATAAGGAGGATTCATATATTGTTTGCGCACTCATAATGGTTCTACCTTCCAGAGGGGTTGTAATTTGAATACAAGATAATGGCAGGTTCAACTCAAGCTTATCAAACAAATTGGGAAAAAGTGAAGAATGTAGGAGAATAATATGTTGTGAATTAAGATGTGCAAGCTGTTCTTTTCTAATTGTTATTCACTGTTGCATTGTCTCTATTCTATAGTTCGAAGGTGTTCAAAATTTAAATGTTTGTTTAGCTGGTACTGGTAGTCTCAATAAAGAGTGACTAGTTCGAGATGTTATTGCTGGAAGGTTTATAATATTTACTTTGTGGTAAAATTTAACAGAACAAGTTCATTTGGGATTCATCATGTGTGATGCAACTGATATATTTCCTGTTAGTGTTAAACATTCTGTTAGTTTCTGGTAGATTTCTGTTTCCATTACGATTTTGACGTAATCTGGTTTTTCTGGGATTATGTTTTCAGGGCACTTTTAGACTTACATCTATATAACTAGATACTCTCTTCACTGAATATTTATTTTGTGCAATTCAACGCATCCATTTTTTATCTTTTTTTTCAAAGATCTGATGCAGAATCTAGCACCATTGGATCGATCCTAATTTCATGAGATGTCTTAAGCTGAAACACCTGAGCAGTAGTTTAATGATCATTCCTAAGCTAAATGGGGTTTCAATGGCTTTGGTTTTTTAAATTCTATATTGTTTTTGCTCCACAACACCAAACTTTTGTCTCTTCCTATATCTGAGACTTTTCCAAGAACACGCTATTGTTTCTAGTGCATTGAATAGTCCAATTGGCCTGATTGCTGTTCTACCATTTACAACTATCCAATTGGTGTTATATTCCTGGGAATCTTGACAAGAATAAAATCATTGGCGAAATGATAATTCAACAAATGGAAACATCCTATTTGTCACGTCCATTTCTTGGTATATTGGAGACATGTCACTGGCCACTACTTGCTAATGGGGTTGTGGCCTCAGCTGCCATTAATTTAATCTTGAAGAGACAGGACTTTTACCTGAGTTGCCTCTTATTGTCCTAAAGACAGTGGAAATCTACTATGATAAAACTATGCCTCTTGATCTTTACCTAGGGACATCATGGACCGAGAACCTACTATTGGTCCTTAAATTATGAACATAAATTGTCAATTTAAATTGATTTTCTAACCGTTTCGTGTCACCTAGGGGCTGTCTTTTTTGCTCTGTAGTTTGTGGAATCACATGCATTATGCACCAACATTTGATTAAATGGCTGTCTTGTTTTTTTTGACATGAGCTTCTGCAAGTACTTTCACGTATTTAAGCTTTGCATTTATGCAGCAACCATCTATGAAAGCAGAAAGCTTCAATGGGCACGTTTATGGGACACATAGTGCCTGGCTTGGCCATCGCTCTCCTCGGAATTTGGCACACCATTAACACCATCAAATCCTACTATCTTAAAGGCTCATTCAAATTTACATCAAGGTTTTGGTACCCATTCAAGAGCCCTCTTCTTATGTTCAAACATTTAGAACTCATACTTGTATTATCCTTCTCCATCACTGCTATTTTCCTGCAAGTCCTAGACTTCCCTTTCCTGCACTTCTCTTTTAAGCTGGACAATTTTGAGCATGCCACTGTGTTCCTGCATGTAGCCATATTCGCGTGTTTTACCCTTTTCACCGAGTTAACTCTTTCATCTGAAATTTTAACCAGTGTCTCTGGAATTCTGGCTTCCTCTGTTCTTGGTCAAGAGCTTTTCTTACTCCATTATCACTCGGCTGATCATGTTGGTCTGGAAGGCCATTACCATTGGCTTTTGCAGCTTATAGTGTGTGTATCTCTCATGGCTGCCTTGTCAATGACTTGTTTCCCTACCTGTTTCCCTGCAGCACTTGTTCTTTCTATTTCAGTTGTATTCCAAGGGTGTTGGTTTATGAACATGGGGTTCATGTTATGGGTTCCTGAGTTTGTTCCACAAGGATGTGTCGGTCAATTGGGCAATGCCAGTGGCAGCAATGTGCACAGCGCTGTCATGTGTGAGACGCTTGAGGCGGGTTCAAGGGCAAGAGCACTGGCAAACTTGCAATTTAGTTGGATACTTTCTGGGATAATGGCTTTAATGGGATGTATTTGTTTTGTGTTGCCCAGAAAAGTTCCACCTAGAGAACAAACTACTGAGTATGAGCAACTTCACTGTAGAGTTGCAGATGTCCCTATAGCCATCACTGGATTTAAGCAAGCTCATCCATAAGCACAAGTGTTATTGCTAACTGTGCAAGTTGGTAGCCATTTAGAGGCTTTCAGAGTACTTTGAGATCTTCAATCTATTATCTATACATATGGAATAAGTGGTCTTTGAAACTTGCTGAGTTTCATTAGTAGATAAATAAACTCTGTAAAAGAGACATTATGTCCACTAATTTAGGACTAGATTCCTATTTTAGTTGGATGAGAAACTTGTAAATTGTTACTTATAATTACAAGTTATTATTACTCAACAAATGGGCATCAAATTCAGCATTTAAACTCACATTCCTGTAGAAGAATGGACTACAGTAGTACATTTGTATCAAGTATTTAAACATTCAAGTCCCTAATGCTCAAAATATGTCTCTATACTTCTTCCATCCCTGAACACTCTTTCTGTTTCCATAAGTGAAATGTTAGAGTCCGTTCGCTGAACCAGTATCAAATATTATACCTCCCCGTTACTCCAACGGCACCAAGAGATTAGATACTCAAATTAGGTCCCAAAATTAACTATAATTAGCACTATCGGTGCCAAAAATGAAAGTAGCTTCGGTTTAATTAACTAACTAGCACTCAATCATGCCACTTAAACTTCTCTCATGAATATAAAGAACGAAATTTTGTGTCACATACAGCATCTAACAAAAACCCACTTTACTGGTTGATTTAAATACCCAAAACAATTGAGTTCTACATCAGAAGAAGAATTGAAACAAGAGACACATTCTTAATTAAAAACAAGTGAATCCAAGTAAAGTTTCAACAATTTCTCACTCAGTTTCCTCCACAAATGCTTCAATTCGAAGAAGAACAAACCCAACTGCAACCCCAACAAGAACAAGCCCATTCATGATTGCAGCAATCTTGAAAATCTCACCAACAGCATCACAGGTGGAAGACAGAGCTCCACCACCTCTTCTTCCTTTGCCTTGCGATGCCAATTTCAGTGAACTAACAACCTTTGCAAAGCACTGTTCAGTGCAAACAGGAAGGCCTAAAGAGAGTACAGTACTGTTATGAGCTTTAAGCCCACCAAAAGAGTTCAATCCATTGATGTATTTCACATTGGTCGTTCTCTTCAGGGAGGACCGCCGTGAACCCACCAGGGCGGCGGCGGTAAATGATGCCGGAGAGAGTGTAGCCGACACCGTTGCCATTGGTATCTGACCCCTTTAATCTGTACAGCAAAAAAAAGACAAGAATTTAACAAAGCACTATCTAATGAGAAGTGTTTGCAGTGGAGTGAACATGACTTTACCTGTTGATAATAGGCTAAGAGGAGATTTGAAACTTTGTTGGAATATAGAGATGATGAGAGGATTGGCACTTTGTAAGTGAGAGAAGATGGATAAGGTGGTAAGATGGATGGTTGGATGAGAGCTTATTTCATGGGGGTAGAGCTCCAACAAAGAATTCTGACCAAGAAAAAAAAATGGGTCATTTATTATGGGTGGTCTCTTACTTTTTGAATTGTAATGAGTTATATTATATGGGGTTGATAATCTGTTAAAATGTCTCCTGTCGAGATTTATTTCAAATATATTTTATGTATGNTGAATTGTAATGAGTTATATTATATGGGGTTGATAATCTGTTAAAATGTCTCCTGTCAAGATTTATTTTAAATATATTTTATGTATANGGGGTAGAGCTCCAACAAAGAATTCTGACCAAGAAAAAAAAATGGGTCATTTATTATGGGTGGTCTCTTACTTTTTGAATTGTAATGAGTTATATTATATGGGGTTGATAATCTGTTAAAATGTCTCCTGTCGAGATTTATTTCAAATATATTTTATGTATGCATAATAATACATAGTTTGGCTCATATCGCTTATAAGAGCATGTAATTGAAATCACGTCAAACTATTTAGTGATCAGCTAATCCGATTATGATGCAAACTATTAAGGGTAAACTCACACCCATTAAAGAGTCAAAAGCATTGTTGACCTTGCTACATAAATTGACCTTATGGCCTCCATTTTAACCTTTTTGGGAGGAATAGACAAGGAAAAAAACTTCAGAGGACTTAAAAAAATTCCCAAGGTCCAAATTTCAAAATATATATCAAGAATATGATATTACATTCCCCATGAATTTCAAAGAAATTATTTCTAAATAGAGAGAGAAAAGATATTGGCAAAAGCCTGTGAAATCAGCATTGGGTACATTCAATAGACGGGGCAGCCAATACCCATGTTGAGATATTTGGATGAAAGATACCTAGATAAGGGTTTAAATCTCCCACCCTTTTTCTCCTCCCTTTAAAAGAAAATAGATCGAAGTAGGATATTCTCCATTAGCCTGCCAGCATCAGAGAAGGTTCGATTCCCATTAAATGCAATGTGGCGAAAAAGACTGATTCAATGAGATATGTCTTGCCAGCATTTAAATTTAAAACTTGCTGTCTACTTTTAGGAAATGTTTGGACTGTACCGCTGGACAGCTAAATAGAGAATGTTACATTTAAAGTTGCATGAGAAAATATCAACTGACACCATGAAATGCATAATAGCACAAAGCTAAAAATGAAACAAGAAGTAGTTTGACACTGAATTCCAATGCTGTTTTGAAATGACTAAAGAGGACCAACAAAGTTCAAGGTTCAGCTTAAGAGTATCCCTTTTTGGTTCAGTTTGGAGTATATTCTACAAGTAGAATCATCATGGTGTGCCTCATTGATCCAAGCTCCATATAACTCACTCATTTGTCAATCATGATCCTGCCCGGAGAATGTGAATCTGTAGGAAAACGCCTCTTCGGCCCCTTCCCTGCACAAATTCACATACGCACTTGTCCTGCTTCTGCAGATTGTTCCATTTACAGAGAGCTTTCCACCCTCCATGAAGACATGTCCGCCCATCCTTCCACGTGGAGACATTGGTAGCCCAATCCTTCCCCCTTGGATCACGTATCATCATCTGGGGACGGAGTTTAAGATTATGGTCTTTGATCACGTCCACTGGAACATACTGCAATAGTGATCAAAGAGTGTTTCAATAAGCAATTGCTAAGGTGACTTAAAACTTATGGCGGACTGTAGAAACCCATACCATGCTAGCCATAAATTAATACAAACCGAAGAAAAAGTGCAATTTTATTACCTACATACTGCCATCGTAGGGGTGAAAAACCATCGAAATTTGGGGATAAAAACTAAAAAGAATAAAAGAAACCAAAAACCAGAGGACAGTTACTTATATCATTATCAAAAGGCAATCTCACTAGGTCCACTATTGCAAGACAACAGTATGCCAGATTGCTGCAAATTATGCTATAAGAAGGGCAAATTCTATTGTGGTGCCCCGTGGTATACCTTCAAAGCAATTCACCCCTATCGTTCAAATTCAACCACAACCTTGCAGCATGTTGGACGAATATGAACAATTGACCCCATTAACAATGATGGCAAGATGACCTCGATACCCTCACTCTCACTATTTCTCACAAGGTCTCTGACAGAGACCACCTTCCCCTACCCCATGGCTGGCAAATGGCAACCCCCACTGCCACCAACACAGTCCACCAAATACCCCCATAACAACACACAAATGACTATTGTGGACCACAAAAAATCAGAAAATCACCAAATGGCCTCCTCCAAACACCACACTTTGCCACCACCACAGCACCACATTACAAAAAGCTATAGATACACTTCTTGATAATGGAATCTGCTGACAGAATAATAAAGACTTGTTTTCCAATGTAATTGAAGGCAAAGAGGACAGATTTCACAGGACACTGCTGGACAAATGAACCGATTAAAAAAGATATCTATAACAATTCTGCTCTTACTAATTTCAAAAGAGATACAGAGAGAGACATCCAACTCCAAACCAAAGACTCCCAATTCCTCCACCTCTAATCATTGCCCACCAACTGACACTCAATTCAAACATGCGTACAAATCATCAAAATTAGAGCTTGCCTACTAATTTTTAGAATAGAGTGTGAGAGAGAATTTGAATTTCAAAATAAAGACTTCAATCCCACTACTTCTAATCACTCCACAAATTGACACTCATTCAAAACCAAAAAACAGAATCATCCAAACTAGAGCTGAAGTTACTGATAGGTTAGGCAAGCCTTACCAATTCATTCTTCCTCTTGGCCCTAAGTTTTGCCACAAAATAAGGGTTTTGGGGCCGTGCAATTACTCCAGACCCAAAAATATCATAATCATCATCATTGACATCAACAGTCTCAAAAGTATCAGTTCTTTTGGATTCAGCTTCAGCTCCAGCATTGATAATAGCAAGTCTTTCATGCCCAACTAAATCAAGCAGAGCCGTTCGTTAAATGTTAACATATGGAAACGAAAACACATACAGAGAGAGAGAGAGAAAGAAGGAGATGCAAAATGCAGCAGCATCTGGGGAAAAAGAAAAAGAAATCTTACATTGAGCGTGGCTATCATACTTTTCCAAGCCTGCAGCAGAACTTTCACCTACTGTTTTTGGCATTTTCTTGCTCGGAGCTTCTACTTCTTCCTCTTCATCAGATTCCTCCTCATCCTCACCCTCACCCTCCTTGTAGTATTCTTCATCCTCATCCTCCTCAGTATCATCGTCCTCATCCTCCTCAGTATCATCAACATCATCTTCCTCCACCACCTCCTCACCTCCTCCCTCTTCTTTTGTTGCCTCTTCCTCATCCTCATCCTCATCCTCATCCTCCTTCTCCTCTTTTATTCGAAACTGAAAAACTCCAGTCACTTTCTTCTCACACGCAGTTCTTCCGAGTAGTTTGAAATCAAACATATAATTACCATCAAACTGAAAAACTAAAAAATCACCGAGTTCCACACAATTATCTTTAACAAATCCCAACCATCCATCATGGAAAAATAAGTCACGTCCAATTTTGGCCACCTCTACAGGCCAAAGATTTCCATGGCAATCCCTAAGAAAAGCCTTGTCCGGGAGATTAGCTTTCATGTGCAATGCAAAAGCCAGTGGAATTTTCTACACACACAGGGAAAAAAAAAAGGGAGATTTCACCAGTGACATAAAGACAAAAGTAATAAAAATTATCTCAGAAAATAAAATCTTTAATTCCTTGATCTGTAAAATATATCATGCTTTTCTTTCTTCACATTTCTGATTTTCATCATATCCTGTGAAAGTCAAGATGTAGTTTATTGTGTCAAATATGCATGCTTCGATGGACAGAATGTGAATGCTGGTACACTGTTCCAAGTGGTTAGTCCTAATTCCAATTAGATGACAGCTTATGGCATTCATCAGTAACAGAACATCACTGAAAAGGAAACCTAACACCCAGCAACTTGAACACCCGAGTTCTCGGTGCCACAATCTTTTCTTTTAGACAACCATAACAATTAACATAATCTGAAACACTTCAGTCTTCCACATAAGATGCTAAACTTAACTATCAAAAGCTAGATTTTAAGTAGTATCAGTCTTTAGTCTACCACCCAATGAGTAAAATTTTGCAGCATTCACTCCACATTTTTGGCATTTGACTCGAATAAATTTTTTAAGATTCGCAGGAATACGTTCTCTGAGAAATAATTAGTTTTTTCTCTTTTCGGTTTTACATGACAAGTCTTTCCATTTTGTTATCATGTCCAACTTCCCCATTCCCATCAGATTTCCAAATATAAAAACATGAAATTTTCCGAAACAACAATTGAGCTTCATAATCCTATTGGTTTATTAAAGAATTATCTCCTAAAGTCAAACTCTAAGTCTATATCTATATCTATATCTATACTACTTGTAAATGGCTACTAAACGAAAAATATTTTTTTGCCATCATTATCCTCAACTAAAGTTATAAAGTCCATTGTATCCTTCATTCCTTCACGTTCTTTTATCATCTTACATTAACTACATGGACTTCTAGTATTTCATATCTATACTACTATAAAGTCCATTGTATCCTTCATATTCTTCTATCATACTATAAAGTCCATTGTATCTTTCATGTTCTTTTATCATCTTACATTAAATACATAGAATTCTAATATTCCATATCTATCTATCTATCTATCTATCTATCTATCTATATCTATACTACTTCTAAATATCAAAAAATAGGAAAAACTTTAGATTTTCCTTATTACCCTTGAAAAAAATGTAGTAATACAATATTACAGTTATAATAACATTATTCCTATCTTCCACTACTCCCACTAAATTATCAGTTGAAGAAGCTAAAAGACGGAGTCATTAATCTATTAATGGTATTTATAACATAATCCCATCTTCCATTATCCCCAATAAATTGTCAGTTAGAGAAACTGAAAGGCAGAGGGACATGACTTCTAAAAGATTCGTTATCTCCCTTCCTCAATATATATGTAGAGAAGTGTGCCAACACAACTAGGAGGGCTTTTATTTTAATAAAGCAATTCTTTGAGATCTTTTATAAAACCATAATGTTGTGATTTCTTTTGATATCATATTCTAGCTCCTGTCATTGCAAAAGCTCTCTTTGTATGGTATGTTGTAGAGAACTTGGCGGATGCACTTGAATTTTGCAAAGGAATTTCATTGGACCGTAATATGTTCATCGGAATTCCAATGGAGATTACAAAGATTCAGAATCTACGAAAACTTGAGCTATGTGAAAACAAATAGACTTGAAAACTTTAGGTTGGATTTGTGAACCTTAAGGGTACCAAGATGTTTGCTGTTTCGGCTACAAGGTTGTTTATGAAATTATCCAAATTGATCAAGTATTATTCAAATTATAGGATGTTTGTTGTCTGATAGGATTGATGGTAAAATTGATTCTCTGTAGTTTTAATTTGAGTTGTTATGTTTTGTATGCGCATTTAAAGTTGTAAGTGTAGTGTGGATCTTTGATATGTTTTCATGGTCTAATTTTTCATTAGTGATTGATTCAACGTTTGCCAAAATTATGCTTGGTGAGTTTACAACTTTTTGACAACCAAATTTCAATCGAGTTTGGGGCTGAAAATGTTGACTTAATTAACATTGCATTGAATGAATTCGAAGTGCCTATAAATTTTGATGTTGGTAATATTGAGTGTTTAGCACAATTATTTGGTAATTATTGATTATTCGGTTAGTTGCCACCAGAGACATCATGCGTTTCATACTTGATTCCAATAGATAAACCTACAATCAATTTTCTGGTGAATTACCCGCAATAATTGAGGATTTAAAAGTAGTTTAACAGTAGTCATTTAGATAACAATGTGTTCCTATTTAATCCATGACCCATTAAGTTCATGTGATTTTCTCATGGGTAAGATAGTTTATTGAGTACAAAAAAAAATGAATGTTGGGAAGGAAAAGGGAGTATAAGTTGGGTAATTGTGTAGATTGCTTTAAGTAGTATAAAATGGATTCCCAAGGTAATATAAAACAATTGAATTTCACGAAAAATATACATACGTGGGTATTAATATTTTGAATCCACTTCATAATGTATGATTATTTTGCATATTGTAAGAGAACATTTCCTTGGCATTAGAACAAAAAAGAAAATGTTGGTTTTCTTGATGAAAACTTTGGTAATCAAATGCATAAGACTTCACTTGATTGTTTTTTGACCCAAAAAAAAACAACTCATGCCCCCAAAAAAAAAATTTGTGCATTTTCATCTACCGTGTTGTTGTATCTTTCCCAGTCCATGGACATTAAATGCGTTGATTTCACAGGTGAAAGTCTAAACAAATTTTCATCAAATGATTGCACTAACGAGGTGTAAAAAGTTATGTTCATCCAAATGTATCATGACAAATATAGAACAAACAGAACAAACAAAATATTATTCACAATTGTCCACGTGGTCCTCCAATCTTAGAAATTCAAGAATTCCCTTTTGCTATTTACCTCCAAGAAGAATTGTGCTATGCCCTCCCACAAAGGGTCTCGACACCCGCTACGCTTAGGCTCGCACTTGATGCTAAGCAAGGACTTCCCCCTCCTCTCTATATTTGGACATGATTCTATTCTTATGGAAGAAGCCGCGTATTCCCTTTGGCTACAGAATCGTGTGGTTTCTGCCCATTCCCTTGGTCTATCGCTTATAAAGCATCCCAGGTACTCTCTTCCCTTTCGCCTGCTATTCCTACGCCACTCATTCCTATCTATTGATAGAAAGATCTTCGTCAAATACCGGACTTCGCCTATTTTTTTAGGAATTCCTCATATCCAAGGCAGCTTATCACAAACACCCCACACCATACTGACTATAACCCATCTTTCAGTTATATTCAAAGTTACACATGTATATACCAACTAGTATTTTAAAAGATCAATTAATCAACTAGCTTCACAATTAAGACCTAGATGAATTTCCATCACTGATGCCTCATCAAACACACAACTTCTGAGCCAGAAAAATCTAACTTTTAATTTTCAAAATTTTCACAGCCCACCCCCCAATAAAATTAGCAAAGCTCAATCTTCATCACCATGCAATGCCATTCAGCTCATGAATCAGATATAACATACACAAATCATAAAAGAAATCCGAAAAAAGAACAGATTCAATCATATACCCAAGACCCAGATCATAAAAGAAGAAAGAAGCAGCCAAGAGGCAGTAGATATATACCAATCTTTCAGAGCTGTTCATTGGAATGAAGACCTTGAAGAAAGCAGGGATTTTCTGGGGTTTTACATTAGGTGATTCCTTCATCGTTGGTCTTGAAAACTTCTGTCTCTCACTTCTCGTTTTTGTGCTAGAGCAAACAAATGGTGAGAATTGAATAGAGCTCTCGACCACCTCGGCATTGAGTAGGATTTTGTCATACCCAGGTTGAATAGAATCTTAAACAAAAGTAAAACGATACAAATGTAGTATGTAGAGAGCAAAGACAGTGGACAAGTGTCAATAGGCCTCTATCCCATTCCACCAATTTGGCGCTTGTAGTACACCGTCCAACCATTGCTCCGAGGTTCGGGCAATAGGATGGGCAACTAGACACGGCATTATTTGATCTGGGTCGATTGTTACTTCTGGTCTCTCCCAGATTACCTTCATTCCAACAGATGCTTCATGTAGACTCATAATCGATGCCCAGAAAAATTTTGGACGAATGGAGGAAGAAAAATCCTTGGTTTCTTGGACAGTCGTAATATCTAAGGTTCACTAAAAACGACCTTTTGTTGAAGCCGTTGATGACTTTGAGATGATGACCAGAGGCTTAAAACCAAATGAGACCACAGTTGCTAGTATTTTAGCTACTTTTGGTAAAATGAATTGATCCAGATTGGCAAATCAGGATTTTTTTTACCAAACCAGAGTGGTTTGGAAATTTTTTTACCAAAATTAGGTGGTTTTGAAAATATTTTTAAAATTCAAATAATTTAAAAAATGTCCATTAAAGTGAAGTTAGTAGGATAAAAATATAAATCCAATTGACATTTTTAATATAAATTTGTTAGGTCGATTGACCTTTTTAGGGTATCGTAACTTTTCCATAAAGTTACACACATTAATATAACTAATTTGTTTAATATAAAAACGTCAATCCAATTGAGTTTTTTTTGTTAAAGAAGTCGGTCTGATTGTTGTTTTTAAGCTAACACTATTAATTATAATTTTTTTTTTATGTATGATAAAAAAAAGTGAGATATAACATTTTTTTTCCAACTATTTAAATGCAGAGGGCATTTACTTTTTTGACACAAATTTTCACAATCAGTTTTAACACTAATGTTAATAACATAATAGTTATTTTATTTTATCTGAAATAAAAATTCAAAGGATGACATTCAATATGTATATAAAACAGATATACAAAAACATATAACCTCTTCAAGACATACTCGAACCCCTACCGTTCGGGTCTACGATTTGTCTAGTTTCAACTTCACATCACTGGACTACCCGTATAGGTGTGTTTGTATTTATGTTTACACATATAAATTTTGAATAAAAAAATTTAATGATAAGATTTAAGTCTAAAATTTTATTATCACTTAAACGAATTCACACTCAAATTTTTTCTATAAACTAAAACTTAACTTAATAAACATAGTAATAATAAGTAAAAATATTTTTTTTATATAATAATTATGTCAATGTTTAATAAACAACAATAAATAATTAATATTTTTTTATAATACCAATTAAGCATGTTGATTGTATTAATTTTGTATTGTTCGTTTTAACATACAAAAGAGACAATAGAGGAAGTTCGACACAATTAAATAAACGGATTGATTGTTTGAACCCAAAAATGACATATTTATTAGTATTTAAACATATGAGAGGTTGATAAATAAAATATGATGTATGATAAGGGTAATTATGAAAATTTTCATTTTTTTTTGGTTATATTTGTGAAGGGATAAGACCTAACAAAGGGTGTTAGTATAATTTTAAAAAATTGAGAGGGTGTTTCTATAATTAAACTAATCTACAAAGATGTCAGTGTAATTTATCGTAGTTTCTAATGGTAGTTTACTACGTGTGCAGAAATTTTTCATAATCATCATAACTTGAATTATCGAAGTCACAAATTTTCATAATCAGAAGCAATTAATGAATCCACAATTATTATATTAATAGCCTCGACAAGATCTAAATGTTCTATCTTTTTTTAATATATATAAAGTGAAATCAATCTAGATATCGTTATATCTTATCATTCTTACATTCAAGTCTTGTTATGATATGTTATTATAGTTGTATGTACACCATTTCACATACATGTCAGCTCAACGTGCTTATGACACTCATAATTCATGTTAACGACAACATACTTTTAACTCACACTTCTTGAAATAAAATTTAATTCATATTGGTCCTCGTAAAGTGGTCATAGATCTCTAAAGGCGAAATATTGATTGCATGCCGAATAATCACATGACCAACATTTCTCAAAAAATTATGAATATTGATTGACTCATTGTGAAAGTCACATAAATTTTTATATCACGTTATATGTCACGGGATTAAATTTCTCACCAAATTTCTGTCTTGTGATGGCACTAAGATCCAACACTTAGTCTCAGTCAAACACTCATAATGCACACAAAATACACATAGAACAGAGAATGGACAGTAAGTAAACACACAGGCAAGACACACAAAAATTACAGACAACAGTCAAACTTTCTTTCTCAATAAAATATAAGGCACTCAACCTTGGGGTCTGTTTACAAAAACGTGTCAACTCTCTTGTTGAACAACAGACCCCAAGTACCTTATTTATAATATTCAGGGTGGCAGTTATAAACCCAACTACCTAGGCACATGTCTGTAATTCAAATGCTACCAGAGGTCTGCTGTAATTGGATGACAGGGAAGTTATAACTGGTGTCTGCATGCTTGTCTAAATCTGACAGAGATCTCATATGCAATGCACTTGCCAGAAAATTGTACAGAATTGCCACCATCTGCAGAGCACATGCCCAACTTCCTCAAATGTTGTGCATGTGTCAGGAGCCCTCAGCATCCGAATTGCATTACATTTGTGCCTAACCATGGCCCAGCCCATGGCTCATTATTCAAGCTAGCATTGCCCCACAATTCAAGTCACCCGCTTCCTTGCTTGCATGCTGACTTGTGCCCACGTGCCCATGTGCATGGACTGCTTCTCTTAGTCATGCATGAGACTTCTGCCATTTTGGTTAAGGCATGTGTGACACCCCAAAATCCAGGTGTCAGTAATTACTCGGTTGATCACCCATCAACCCGTGGATACTGTATAATTCGTTACCACGTCGTTATGCCCCATTTACGGAGATTCATAACTTAACGAAATTTGGGCAGAGTCTCCTTTATACGGGGAGCTCTACCCAAAACGCAACCTGTGCAATCATAAAACATTGACCACACCGGGTCCATTCATCCCTACTCCTTAGCATAGTATCAGATACTACTATAATCATCATCATTACGTACATTCATTCATAAAAGAATAAATATCTTAAAAAAGTCCCTTATACATGCCTTTTAAATATAAATAAGTTTTTGCTACAAAAATTACACAAGACCAAAAGTAATTATAAACAAGAGACTACGATGTCAAAAGAAGAGCCACAAATCGGCTCTGTCGTCAAAGCGGGCCCATGGCCTCGCCTTCGGTGGACGTTTGTGTAATATCTGAAAAATGTTCCCATAAATGGTGAGTCAACGCTCAATAGGGTAACTCCTATAGAGAATACCTCTCAACCTAAATGCATATAAAATGTCACATGTAACAATTATTTCATGCATTCATTCAAACATGTCAATTATAAACAAATATCATAAATCATGTCATGCCATGAGATANTCAACCTAAATGCATATAAAATGTCACATGTAACAATTATTTCATGCATTCATTCAAACATGTCAATTATAAACAAATGTCATAAATTATGTCATGTCATGAGATGAGACTCATGCAAACAATACCCACACTGAGCCCCATCCTGAGCTCCCACAATACATGCAACGCCATGCGTATGTATCTGGGCATTCCAAGCCCCCGTCATTTGAGTTATATACATTCAATAACTAATTAATTCATTTTCTTGTGTCTTTGTGGGAAGATAATTTATGGTATTACACCAATGGGACACCAACCATCAACGGATTCTCAGGACATCCCACCTGCCACTCCGTTTTGACTGTTACACTTTTCTAGAATTTCACCGCCAGAAAGTGTATAAACCAAGTAAGCGGGTCTTACATCTGAGGGAGCATCTAGCCCTTCTTGTTATTCTCGACACGTTTATCTATTTAATTTTTCGTGTGACTCAGCTGGACCTTAGAGCGACTTTTTCGAGCCCACAATTAACCACCTATGTAATGATTGATTTCATCTCATGCACACACTCTCACCCATGTCAATGCCTATAAATGTAATGTAACTCATGCATAATGACATTTTAATGTGCAATTGCCTTTGGTACCATTTACAATGTCCATTACATAAAAAATACAATATAATAACATTTTTAACATGACAACATGTTTATCAATTCTATAAACATAAGCACAAGTCCACCACAATAATTATATGCTGAATAATCATTTAACATACATATTATTCCATAATCACATAACAAACTAATAATTTCATTAAACTTGATATGTCATTTAAAACATAAAATAATGTTAATGTACAATTAACATGTTTTAAACCACTAACATTAACTTACACCAAGTTAATTATAATAGGATTTTTCTAATTACAAAGTTAATTATAAATCATATATTTGACCCACTAGTTACACTAGTCAAGACCTAACATGTGATATACACCCATAGTCTACCCATTTCATATGCCATATTTTAGGTTGAAAGTAAATCTAAGTAGGGAAAACCCTACCACTCGCAGTGTGAGCCCACGTACTGAAACTTCAAGGAAGCCCAATTTAACTTCTCAAACTTTAGACCTAAATTATCGTCTTTGATATTCTTTCGGAGAAAAATACGATATTTGATGTGGTTGCGTAGCTCTCGCTGAGTAGAGCAACTTTGATTCTTGGCCAAAAATGATTAAACGGTTCAATCTTCATAGATCTGAAGAAGAAGATATGAGGAAAATAAAGAAAAAAAAAACTCTTTTCTCTCTCTCACTCACTCGGCAGCCAGCTGGAGGAAGAAAAAGTGGAAGACTAAAGTCTTCCACACTTATATATATATATATATATATATATATATATAGTTTAAAAATTTATGTTTTTGACCCTTATATTTATAATTAATTATTATTTTACCCCTTTAATTAAGATTTTTAATAATAATAGTAATAATTTTTTTCCTGATTTTACAGCATGGGTGCCTATGGGCGAGGCTACCCAATGTCAAATGTTGCCAATGGCTAAGAGGGTAACAAACCACCCCACTAGAAGAGCTCAACGTCCTCATCGAGAGATTGTCTCAATACTCCTTGATCTGTTTCTTAAACTGCCAAAGAGTCACATCTCGTTCCCAACTTGCGTCTGCCTCGGAACCCTCTTTCCAATGCACCAAAAAATCAGTCCTGCAATTCTTCTTACTCTGACCCATGGTCTAGTGAGAAAGAATCTTGTCGACCTTTTTGTCAAACTGTTTTCCTAATGATA